AAGGTAAAGGGGGGGGCAGGCACGTACGCCCCGGGCGCTCGGCAAACACTTCGACCGCTCCCTACAGAGTGGACACTTTTATTTATTTTTTATTTTTATTTATTTTATTTTTATTTATTTTATTTTTATTAATTTATTTTTATTTATTTTATTTATTTTATTTTAATTTATTTTTTATTTTATTTTTTATTTTATTTTATTTTATTATTTTTATTTTTTTTTAACAAAGACCTCAACGAAACGTTCCTCGCGCCGTAATCTACACGATGAGTTCATGAACGCTCTGTTACATTTTTGCTGGTTCGGCGCTACTCGTTTCCCTCCACCTGTTCAGAGACGTGCAGAATCTGCAACTGCATGTGAAATGAATTCTTAATGTTGTAAGTGACTTAATTTCGCGGGTGTGCCTCTCTGTTCGGTCATAAAGTTAAATAAGAATGGTTGTTTGTATTGACACGGGTGGATTGTACTTAAAACACGTTCAGTTTGTACAATTGCAAGGAGACATATGGAACAAGTGACGGAGGATAGGCGGTACTTTATGAAAAATATATGTTATGGGTTAAATGTGAAAATAGAAGTTAGGGAAGACGGTAGGTTTTAACATGCGAGATGTCGCACCGTTACGCTATTGTACGGATATATGTGATGCGGGACAGTGAACAGAAAGTATTGTAATCGTGTGGTAAGAAATGGGTAAATTTTCGTCAGAAAACTGTTATTACCGGGCCCTGGAAATGGAAAAGTGGATAAATTTCGTTTTCTAAAGGGTTGCTACTCATTTTCTGGAACAAATTTTCCTAACTATTCATTGTTTTATATTAAAAACTAGTCTGATACTAATTTGTAATCTATTTGATTTCAAAAAAAAATTAAGAAAAAAATTATATTTTGCTAATTTTTTAATGAATAATATCTAGTTTTATAAGCCTCTAAAAATCTTCCCGAACTTCTAACAACTATTCTATTCTGATTCTTCAACAAATTCCTTGACTTTTCAAAACCAATAAAATTCGCTGATTTTTGACGGTTTTTCAGAAAGTAGCCACACTACCGTACCACTAGAGATGAGACACCAACAAAACATCGATGTTAATAAACCTCAAATTTAAAACATCGATGTTAATAAAACTTACCCCAAACCATTAAACATCGATGTTATTAAACGTGTAATTAAATGTTATTAAATATCGAGGATTTTAAAACTCGGTTAGTAACCATTGAAGTTTATGTGGGGGAATTTAACTTGAAAGTGGTCTAGTTTGTTAATTTTTAATTGAGATTTAAGTGGCAAAATAAAGTCAAAAAGTTATTAGGATGATCAATAAAATGTTGATGATCTGAATTGATAATTCAAAAATTATACCGCCTTCTTTCCTGACAAAAACTCGATTGTATTTATTGTTCAACTTTTGTCGCTTTTGGTCTCAAGAATATTCAATTTATTGATATCTGAAAATTATTATCGAATATTGTTATTATGATGGTACCTTTTCGATTGAAAAATATCAACTACTTAAAATCATCGAGCTCACAACATTGATGTTCAGAAAACCCCGGCTTCAAAAAATCAATGTTAAATACGTCTAATTTTCTGTTAATAGAAACCTCGATGTTTTGAAAATCCCGACATCGATGACACATCCCTGCTTAACCCCCGCTGGGGCATAGACTACGATACAGATTAATTAATGTTTTCAGGTACATGAACCGGTATGGTTATTAGCCCCGTTAGTGTAGTGCATGTTTTTATCATGGGCGGTGGGGGCGTTTTTCTCTCGTTAATGTTGAGATCCGGCGCTGACCTATACGCTTGCGAGGGTTTCCCTCCAACCAGACATCTCCCATCAGCGGGGCACCGCCCCAGCCGGGCCAATGGGTCCGTCCGCTGGTGTGGTCGTTAGTCCCATTATCCTAGAGGCAAGGGCGAGGGACAGATTGCCGGTGAGCTTTCACAGCCGGCCGGAATCAGCTGAGATTAGCTCAGAGCCACCGACCGGAAGGTCCGAGGGTTCGAGTTCCGACGGCGGATTCTCTACACTAGCAATATAGTTGAGCGTATGGTTTAGTGAAATTCAGCCGCTGTCTAGACGCGAATTCTAAAGGACTGATGGGTAGTTTTGTCCAGAGAGATGCCAGTGTTCCTCGCCAGCTGCATGGCGACGACGTATCCGGTGGAGGCTGGAGACACTCCCAGCGCACCAGCACCGCTCCAGCCGGGCAAACTCGAAACTACCGACTTCTATACCGACATGTGGGATAGTATAGTGGGTGACAGTGTAAAGGGTGATGACAGAAAGATTGGCCCGTTTATTATGGGACTACTCCGGCATTCCCCCGGTATTGATCGGAGAAACCACGGAAAACAGAACGTCAGAACGATCGATAGAATTCTCCTCCAATCAGCGGCTAAATCCGATGTAGCTGCCGTGCTGCATGAACAGCTTGTGTCGGAAATCCGACGTCAGAACCTCAACCCTAAAACCACCCGGTGACAGTGACCTTCAACCCTCGTGGCGTGAAGTGCAGTGACGTTGTGAAACTGAGAGAAACGAGTGAGTAAGAAAGACATTACAGCTCGCTGTATCGCAGTGCGGTGAAGTGAAGTGTGGTGAAGTGGAGTTCTAGGAAAGATTGCACGGTGAAATGTTCAGTTCACGTTTGTAGATTTTGTATAGTTGTTATATTTTGTAAGTTGTTGTTAAGTTGGTGTATTCTGTCACCAAGTTCGCACACTTAATTGCAGAATTATTAATAAATCTAACCCAGCAGCGGCGCTGGCCCTGAGTTAACCTCCTGGATGACCTCAAGCTCGACGGCAGCACCGTTCCTTTTGCAGCATTGTTGGTCGCTACAAAGAAGCTACTAATTAGTGGCGAACCAACGGGGGGAATGGGGCTTTACCCAATCGATGGCACATATCCATGATAATTATAGTTTATTCTGATTCAAATGCAAAGTAACGTATTTTAATTATTTATATTATTCTGCTAATGAGTATTTAAGTCAATCATTGTAAATTAATTCCTACACATTGGCAATAAACGACTAAAAATTAGTTTCTACAATTTTATTTGTATTTCAATCAAGATTGAAATGGTCAGTATAACTGCGTGAAAAGTAAATCAAAATGTTTTAACATTCTATTTCATTACATATTTAAACAAAATAATTTTGATTAATCAATATAGTTAGCTTCTGCTTGGTCTATAACAAGAAAAATAAACTAATTTCGAATTATATTTTTTGTTATTTATTTTTAATTTCGTGATATTAAGAAGAACTTTAACACGTAACAATACATTTTCAATAACCATTCAATCTGCGTACGTTACAAATGACAATAAATTAACAAATAAATATTAGTTTTTAACTGAGCACAAACGAAAATTTCTTTATTGAAAAATATTCAGTCAGCCGGGCATTAAAACTAGACCTTCTCTCACCCAAAGACCTATGCTGTTTGCATCACTCTGAATCAGTATTAAATCATTTGTTTTTTGCAGGTTTTTTTAACATGCCCTTCGTGGATGCATGTTAGCTGGCTAAAAAAATTACCGATGTCTCATTTTCGGGGATATGCTCTAAATTTGCTAGCGTAGCAAAATTTCTCGGCGTCTTGCTACTACTACAAAATTGAAGATAGATATTGTCTTCATAATGAAATCTGTTCTTCAAAGAGAAATCTTTAAATAAAGTCGTACATATTTTTTCCAAAATATGAGTACAGTTTTCGCATTATTGTCCGTGAAATACAGGCAATTTAAAAACAAATATTTTCTCAAAAATTGCTCTAGATTTTTTCTTTTTACTTCTTCCCTAATTTATGAAAACGGTACATATTGTATTTTCCATAGACTTGACGAATTTTTCAAACAACGCAAAAGTTACAAATAATGGGAGAAGGAAGGTCCTGTTATAGAGCTGCTACTCCTATATACATTTTTTACATCACCTACTTTTTAATACATTCCTATTAAGCGACCTTTTTAAACATTCTACAATATTGAAAGCAAAATGTTTTTAAAAAATAAAATGGAATAATTATCATCTTAGATCCAAAGACCTTCAAAAACTCTTTTTTTTAATGTTTACAAAAAAATTCGAGATTTTTAAGTTTTAAAAATCCATCTCATCGAATTTAATTTTTTTGTTTCGCGAAAGAAATGTTTTAAACGGAACATTTTTGTAATTCTAGTAGCAAAAAAGATACTAAAAATTAAAATGTAGAATTAATTAAAAGACTAAAATGCTTTTTGCTGTGTACGTGGGATGGGTAGGGTTAGGGAGAAGCAAACTAGTCCAACTTTTTATCATTTTGTATGAAAATCGATGTTTAAAACTTTTTGCTTCATTTCGTTTTGGAAGAGTTTTCACTATTTTATCCTATTAGATTCTTTGGAGAATAATTGCATCGTATGTATGTTCTTGATTAGGCTGAGTGTGGAAGATTAATTCCTATTGAGAATCAATTGACAATGACACATCATGAAAAAGCGATACACGAAAAATAGATTCTGGCAATAGGCAGAACATCACTAAAAAAATCTATATATAAATAATATCTGTATATACTTTTTGAAAATTATTACCAAAGCCTCCTCAAATATTCTTAAAATTAGCTGCATATAGAACTCTCGTAGAAAATACGTATCCCATTACCTCGCATAAATATTTATTGATACCGTATAATCCAAACCCTCTTGCTCTTTTACATTGGCAAACGGGTACCAACAAAATTAATACGTAAAAATCTATTCGGAAGATTTTTTACAATCTGCCTTCCGAAAAACGGTTCACTGTAGTTCTCATAATAAACATTACGAGGCAAGTAGTTGGACAGTTTTTTGTTGTTTTTTTGACACGTGTTTTTTTACTTTGTAACTTAGATTACTCTTTCAAACTAAAATATTGTAATGCAAATCTTAACTTTTGCTAAAGGTGACAAAGCCAATGCAATGCATTAAGTTTTAAAAAAATTAAGATTAAAAAACACTCACCTCAGTCTTCGTGATGCGGTGTCGTGCCAACTTGACAACGGCGAAGTTTCCCTTTCCGATGGTGCGTTCGATATCGTAAAAGCCCACCCTAATGGGTGCTTTCTGCCGTTCAGATGCCATACTGGCCACAACCATCGCCCACGCAACCACGAAACACGATTCCGACTACCTACTACCACCGCATGGTTTCGAAAATTCTTCCTACCGCGGTCTCGTTTACGCCGGAAATTCGCACACGTATTTCACACGTTGCCGCTCGCTCGTTGCTCCTTTGTTTCTCCGCGGATCTTCTTCTGTCGGCACAACTCCAAAGAATACGAAAATGGTTCAAAACATACACGCGCGCGCGCACAAATTCGTGTAGTTTCACAGTTTTTGTTGTTACGTCCGGTCTACTTTACGGCTGTTTAACTGTGGCACGTGCACAAAGTTTCCAACTCGAAAGTTTGACGTTATACCGAAAACACCAACGACCTATCGTTTCGACAGCTTCTGTCAATCTGACGGCCGGCTCTTTTTTGTCTTCCATTCACTACTCTTCGCCGCACGATGCTCAGCTGTTTCAATTGCCTTACCTGATGAAAGCTAATGCAGGAAGAGATCAGGCTTTTGGTAAGGAACACGTGTTTCGAGTAATGGATTCCAAACAATGTTTTTGTTCAAAAGGAGATCAATACACTTGCCACTTTCTGCCCACACAATTGAAATTTCCTCTGACGTCTATTCAACGCTGATTTACAGACGGCAGTCAGTCAGGTACAATCAACGAATATTTAAGCTCGTGTCTTTTCGTGCACAATAATTTGGATTTATGAGAAGTGTAGGAATCAATGTGATCTCACAGCATGGGGGAGTTATGAGCAGATGATGGCTTTAGTTTTTTCTGTTAATTTGTTTGCTAAATTTTGTACATACGCTTACAGGGGAAGGAGACTGGCAATATATCTATTCCTTTATATATAAAACTACTTGCTCGATTTTTTTGTGTTTTTGTGCACGTTATTTCAATGTGATGTTAAGAATCTACACTTGAGACTAGCACCAACAAAAGATACAATTAAGTCAGCTGATTTATTCTTCAGAAAAATTAAATAACATTTCCCTTGTTTATTTTTTTACGCTCTGGTGTTAATAGTAATCACCAGACCAGGAATTTGTTCTGCAATATTAACTATAATATACAAACTTATCACCCGAATGAGGAATTCCCCTGTTAGGTTTTTCTCGCTTGGTGTTATAAATTCACATCTTCCACGATGCTTTCCTCCACAATTCGTTCGACCGCAGAAGCCGCAAGCCCGACGTAATCACAACGGAAAAACCACACGACTGTCTACATGCGCATAAAACAAACGAATCAGCATGTATTGTTGCTGGAGAGTCGAAGACGCCGATGTATTGGTGAACTTGGCTTTCACTTCACACACACACGGACACAGGCGCAGTCATCGTGTGAGCACGGCAGTCCCCTTTGCAGGCAAGCGTCTTGACGTTGTATATCGATCCTGCAGGATCCTACACGGTGACGGGCTTGCACTGCAGTTGCCCAGGAACCACGTCTTTCTTCCTACTGTCTTCAATTTCGTAGTTCTCTGTTGCTACCTCCTGGAGAAGACAACGGTTCGTGCATTGTTGCAATAAACGTGTATATTTGCAAGAAATGACGCATTAGATTCAAAGCGTTGGTGTCACACATCCACTTCGATGCTTCCAGGACTCGATGTGGTATGGTACATTTTTCCAACAAAGAAAGTCGCGAATACGACTTTTCCACACACATACACACGCGTTATAAAACTAAGATGGAGTTGTGTTCCTCGTCTGAACACAAGACACTCGAATAAACAAAGGCCAAACGATACTTATACAGTGGGATTGGAAAGTAACTATAACACGGCTACGGTACGCCTGTGAGATCCGGGCTCCCAGTACTTTTCCAGAGGGTTCCAAGTGCCCGGTTAGAAAACACCGCGTTGATCACACGAAGGGACCCGTCGTAACCCTCCCCCCAACACGGCCGTTCCTCGACTAGCGAGAGTCCTCTCAGTCGTCGGCCGCCGCCGCGGGTAGCAGCACGGTCGCGGCGACGGCGGCGCGCGCGGCGGTGGCCGGCGGAAGCCGCGCCGCTGACGCACATACGATGACGTCAATGGGAACCGGAGGTGGGGGAGCAGGGCCTGCGGGCGAGTAAGGGGGCGGCGTTGGAGGTTGGGTGAGCTCGAGGGATGATGGAGGAGAAGGGGGACAGCATCGGAACAGTTCCATGCTGAGGGGAGTTCGGTTAAGCGGTGACCGACGGGCAGTAGCGGGCTATCCCAATATCCGCCTTGCGTCTCCCAACGATTTCACGAAAGACTCGTCTATTTCAATGAAGTGCAAGTGGTTGGTTAATTCAATAGTCGTTTAACCGAATTATTGGATACTTCGAAAAAAGTTTATTCCCTTCGAATCCGTACATAAAAATATTGATGTAAATATCTATGTATTCGAATATCTGAACGTAACATACGGATAATTCGAATTTGGAATTATCCATACTTAAAAGCAAAGAAGTAGGATAAATTAAGCAATTGATGAATCCAACAAGTAGATAATTCCTAGATAAAATTGTTCCTCTTCATATACTCATTTAAAATCAACTGAAGATTTATATTTAATTATAATATAAATACATTAATGTATTTATATTATAATTAACTGAATTTAAATGAAATTAACTGAATGCAACATATTAGAAGGTTGCATTCAGTTAATTAGATTTAGAAGACTTTCTACGTTAGTAACAAACAGGTGGCGTGCTTATTTTGCAATGGATGATTTGAATTAGAAGAATTCGAAGAAAAATGCCCTCTTTTAAATTCATACTTTAATCAATGTAGATCTATATTTCATTCAAATGATAAAAAAGAAAACGAAACACTGTAGTAAATCATACCCAAAATTACATGTCTTTTATAGAAAAATCAATGGCCTTCATCAGCAAAAACTCTGCTGGACAAAACACAATATGAATGTAGCTTTGTAAAACAAATCGTCACAGCTGTGTGACGAAAGCGAAATCTCTGGCAGACCAAGTAGGCAAGGTAGGGTGATGGAAATACGTCAAGTTCACCTTACGTCTCCTTTACCCCGAGGTGTGGATAATAATTTTAAAAAAAAAGTTTCCAGGCCTGGGAACACCGGTAGCTTGAAAAAGTCTGATTAATCCGACCCTAAAATTTCAAATAAACTCATTCATACATTCGGCTCTAAGATATCATTTGTTGTGATATTTTGGAGTAGAAATTTTCAAAATATAATTTCTCATTACCTTCGCTCCTCGCGATAAGACAAATGAGGTCTATCAAACATCCTAAGCATTGACAAAGAAACACAAGATTTTTAGTGAGTTATCTAATATATAACTAGTTCTGTGTCTGGAATGAAAGAAAACTTGATAAATACCATAACACCAAAGAACTTAATGGCATATAAGGTTGCCGTCTCCTTGTTGTCCTAAACACTATACTGGTTATTAGCACTGATGACGTTGTCCGCAGAAAAATTGAGGATCGTATTTTAAATATAATACTCTTGGAAATCGCTAGCTTCTGACTATCAAATTACACTGAGGAACAAAAAAATCTCTCAGGAGGAATTCAATTTATCAATTGGTTTTACTCACTGGTCGGTTTAATTTAAATAAAAATATTGAAACCAAAAGTATTTGCATTTGATGTGAAACACCGGTTCATTATCTTCGGTACAAATCAGTGGGCGTTAGAAGGAAAGGAAAATAACTTTAAATTCGTACATTTACAACACTGTCATTTCTGTAGGTTATTTCTCAAAGCATTAATATCAATGTTTGGCGTATTTACATGAGTATATGTTAACAAAACGATAGCGAATGCATTTTCATGAAACAGTATAAAGTAGATGATCAAACGATGCAAAATTGATGTTGATGAAACGACGAAAAGTAGTGGGATTTCGCAGCACACCGAACTTTTCCTCCTCTTGATGTTATCACCCCAAAATTACTGAGATATTAAAAAAAAAGTGCATGGCGTCATTGAAACATCTTCAGCCTAATGAAATTACGCATGAAACATCCAAAGCACATCGCAATCCTTTCGGCGATGTATCGATGTTTCGCTAAAATTTTCCATCACTACTTGCGAAGCCGTGCAGGCGTGGACGCTTGATGCCTGCAGGCGGCGGTGCTGTTAGTAAACAGGGTGTGCGTTGCGGCGAAGAGGGGTCGTAGCAGGCGCTATTCCTAGCGTGGCCTTCCCACGCCCTCCCACGCCCGCATACGTGCGCGCCTCCCGATGCGACGTTGTTAACAAAACATCCATGTTCCTGAACATCGATGCTCGAATTTAAAACATCGATGTTAATAAACCATTGACCGAAAATCGCCGATGTTAGGGGGAGGGGGAGAGTATGAAAAAGTATGCGCTGTTGTGGCCCACAAGGTTATTTTACGATCGAGGCTATTTGAAGTACTGAGACTCCAGTGAAACCGAAGTCTTCGTCCCCAGAATGGATTACTCGAGTAAGTTTAAAACTGCATTACATCGAGAGATTTCAGAGACATTTGTAGCTATTGAGAAGTGACTTATGATCTTACAAGTTTTTCTCAATAAGATGGTTACGTGAGAAATAATTTTCGCGACTTTTCAACCTTTTTATCGTGTAAGGTTTTCTTGCGCACCGGTTTCCCCAACACCTGTAATTTCACGGTCAGTAATACATACCCTCAACTTTCACTATTTTCTCGACACTGTTGTTTCTCTTATGAGAAATTCACTGTTCTTCGTTGTTTTGATGAAAGTGTTGACGTTAATTAGAAGATTGACGTTCGCTAGTGGGTAAATTACAAGCTTTAAGACTGTTGGCTCTTGCGATCCATTTAATGCAGTAATATAGCTTACAGTGTGAAGACAATTATCAGACAGAAAGTTCCAACTGATCTCTTTCACTTCAGAGATATTCATAAATCAGTATCGAGGCTCGTAGTGCTACAACGTAACATGCAACTATGTGTTCATATATTGTCCATTTAATTCAATTCACTGGTTTGGATATATTTATGAAACGATACAATCAATGTAACAAATGATGGAATGAAAATTGCTCCAGTGAAAAATAATTAAGCAATTAGTATCAGTGCAAATCATGCTCAAGTGGTCAGTATCGTTTAAACGATCAAAAATGCACCCAAGCATTAATTAAATACAGCAATTGTGTTACAATATCTGCAAGTAAATAACGACCTAATTACAAATGTAGCATAAAATTACTTTTTTAACACCCAAGGTCTCTGATTCTGCATTGACTACATTGACTTTATTCTGCAAGGAGTATATGTTACGAAGGTGTTAAAAAAACACGCAATAAAGAACTTATGTATTTGCGACTCTCAGAACATTTTTTGAGGTGTAACCACAAGTATACGTATAAACCATTGATCATTCACAGTACGTGAAACACCAGCTATGATGATTCATATCGCCCCACTGTTGTTGTTTTTTTGTTTTGTTTTTCAGTATGCAAAGTGCAACCGTCCATTCAATAAACTGCGAACGGAAGTACGTAGTAGTTTCTGTGCACGAGTACTGAAAATTACGTGCTAAGACTTCTGTGGTAAACATCCCATAAAAATTAAATGAATAGATACTGGGTGCAATATTATCCTTTTATATTCTTTAACCAACGAGGGAATGAAATGGATGTAAGCAAACCGAAATGTATCCCTCTGCTAAAGCGTGTGGTCCGGGGCCACTGAACTGACATCTTACCACCTGACAACGCCCCACTGTCACCTCATGCTGTTAGTGATCTCCAATTCATCCACATGTTGCACGAACACTATTTAATGTATCGGAATGTGCAGGATGGAAAAAGAGAAACGGACGTTTGTTTAACCATAAGGGATCGTCATTGCACTCATGAGGGTAATAATTCTTGTCACTCATCATAGAATTTCTAAAGGCTATTATTCATATAATTTCTAAAGGCTATTATTATCGGTAAAATAATTCGGAAAGAAAACACACCACAAAAAGGTGAGCATAAAGCATGCAAGAGCAATAAATATGCACAAAATTCTTTCGTTATATTCCCCTTAAGACCAGTAGATTGGAGCAATTCTTATCCAGTTCCCTGTAGGATATTCTAGAAGAATTTTAGGAAGTCACTTTTTTTGTAGTTTTAATTCTACATACGAGTTAATTAGCGAATCAATGAGAATTACTATAATCCGTTGCCAGCATTTACTCGTATATGAATCGTTGCGCTTTGATTCATCACATTCAAGGTAATTTGTATCGGAACGAAAATGTAAACAAACATTTTTAACGCAAGTTCCTGCGACTTTTTATGGCCAACAATTGATAAGCCGCGCAAGTGAAATAAGTTTAAAATTTAACTTTAATATGAACTTGTGAAGCAGAAATAAAACTGTTTTAACATGGAAAATACACTCCACAGGTACCACACTAAGCTAGTATGTTTAGTAGTTGGGTCATTTCCATTCCTATTCGCACAGTATTTCCAAAATATAATATGATCAGCAAATTCAGGTTGTCTAATTTTTAATCCATAAAGTATGCTGAAAATCTTCTCCATTTTCACATTTTTATTAACTTTCTGTGTTTAAAAAAATTTTAAGAAACTTTAACTCATTAGTAATACTAAAGTTTAAAAATTAAGTATGTCGCCTACATTCAGAGGAAAAATATGAGTTCCGTGGAAAATTTTTTAAGTAGTTGACATTATACCAAAATGTAGCTCGTTTTTCTGATTCAATTTCCAGGAATTATTTCTGAAAACGACTCAGCAAAATATCTTGGAATTACACTGGATAGAAGACTTACATGGAAAACACATATTAAGAATAAAAGAAAAGAATTATATCTCAAAATTATCAGATTAAACTGGCTATTAGGAAAAAACTCATCCTTAAGCATCGCAAACAAAATTCTTCCGTATAAAGCATTACTAAAACCTGTCTGGACATATGGAATACAACTTTGGGGAG